GGCACTGTTGAACAGTTAGAGTGTAGAACGCTTGCTGAATTGCCATTACTATGCTCACACTATGCGTGTGCAGCGCTGTGGTCGGAGGCGCCCTGCAATACACATGGAATCGTTCCCCGCGTCGCAAGCTCCCCAAAACTTCCTTCTTCCGGGGACCGGCTAATTGCCACCAAACTCATCTGGGAGGATAGTAGCAATGTCCATCGCGAGTGTAGGTCAGATATGTATTGAATCACCTTGAAACTATGCTTAATGAAGTCGAATGCATGGCGCATCCCTCAGGGAATAATCAACGCCGGGAGCTTTATCCTTCATCCTTTTGTGCTCACATTCGTTACTTCAAGAATTGTTGTATTTTTTCCCATTGCTGGGCCTGTATCATACGCCTTACCCCTAAGCCCTTGGATAATTGGACGGTCCGTCTTCACGAGCTGGGCGGACTCCAGCACATACGCCATTCGTTCCTTTCTCTCGCAATCGTAGTCCATGGTGGTGGTCTTGTTCGAGCATAGTAGCGCGTGCGGGTCTCATACCGTGATCTGTAAAACAACTGCAGCTGCGGGTGCGGCTGATTAACTTTGTTTACATACACGACCGCCCAACGTGTAGGTGGTCGTCCTAGAGGACGTTTGCATTCTCTTGGAGTCCACTCTGCTGTTTTTTTTTCGTCCATCTGTCGTCTGTTCTTCTCATTATGTGGCCGGCCCATCTATGTTTCGCTGTCGATGTATATTCTCCTGGATCTCGAGGATGTGACAGATTTCGAAGGTCAGAGCTTTGAATTCCGGCTAAATATTGAGAGTGCCGGTTATATTTTAGAAGACATTGCTTAAGCGCTCTGTGAGTAGTGCGGAATATTCTTGACGTGGTTGAGGTATTACGAGGTGCCACGTCTCTGCACCATAATAGAGAGCTGGGAGGACCATTGAATCGAAAAGGTAAGGGTGGATTTTCAGTCCTTCAGTTGCGCGGTAGCTTCTTTGAGAGGCCAGAATGCGGCCCAAGCTGCTCTTTTTCTTCTATCTAGTTCCTCTTTTATATTGTTTTCCACGTTCATTGATCACCCAAGGTATACGTACGAGGTGGTCTCTGCAATGAAAGAGCCATCCAATTCAGTTTTTTCGATGTTTTTCATCAATAAGCAGACACGAGGTTGTTAATATAGAATTTATTAGAACTCAATTGCTGACGTTTCGGCGGTTTCGCCTTCTTCAGAGCCTGGAAAGGTCAAATTGAGATGCGATCTACTCAGCCAAACACTTTCATAACCCCAGCAGATAAAACTTGATAAATCGATTTGTATTCGCATAAGAAACAGCTTCATTCAAACACCTACCGTTTATTTGTTGTAAGTATTTAAGTTAGTTGGTGGATAGCCGCCGCACAGAGTAATACATGGTCGATAACTGGGTCCATGTCAGATCATTGGATCAGCCTGAGGTATGGCGCTAGGTCACGCGTGATGACAAGACACTCCTCCTTGCGGTTCATTTTTGAATTTTTGGCATTGATCCAAAACGCTTCAAGAGTTTTTCGCGCTGATGTTTTCGATTCCTGCGTAAGGATAGTGACTCCTACCTCAAAATCTTCTCCGTTGTGTTCTTGCATCCTATGCGCGCCTAGTGGAGTATTGTGTTTTAGTTTAGATTTAGTTTAGATTAGATTTTTTTTAGAGATTCAGTTTTTTCGCTTTCGCACCATTGGTTTTTCATGAAATGGGTCTTTCGATTTATGCGAAGTCCGATCTTTTTCTCTGCTTCGTTGAGCTCGTTGATCGTCACCTCTGCTTCGCTAGTACTCCTTGAAAAGATGACAATGTCGTAGGCAAAACGGAGGCTTGATATGAATTTTCCATCAATACGTATGCCTTTCTCATACCAATCGAGTGACTTTATTATCCACTGCAGTGCGGCACTGAAGAGCTTTGGCGATATTGTGTCACCCTGTCGAACACCTTTTCCTAGGAGTATGGTAAGAGGACGATGGGAAAACTATATTTCCGTAGTGCAGTTCCGCTAACAGTCGGACAGAGTTCTTACGTAGGACGGGTCCACTCCTTGGTCGACGAGCGCTGTTAGGATTGTATTCGTTTCGACACTGCCAAACGCTTTTTCATAGTTGACAAAGGTTGGGACTAGGGGCAAGTGGTATTCCCGACATACTTCGATGACCCTGGACACGGTTTGGATGTGGTACATATATGGTTGAGCCTCATCCAATGTCCATGATATGCGCGAGAGGATAATCTTCGTGAGGAGTCTGTAGAGTACGCTCAACAAGCATATGAGGGGATAGTTACGAAGATCCCTGCGGTCTTCTTTCTTGGGCAGAATGACCGTGCGCGACGTCCTCCACTGGTCTGGGATTTTTTCCCTTTGTAGGTAGGCTGTCATATGATCTGCGAGAAGTACATGTAAATTGTGGCCTCCAGCTCTAAAAAAATCAGGAGTGATATTATCGGGTCCTGGAGCTGTGCCTCTTTTCATGCTTTCTATCGCAACTCGAACCTGCGGCAGATGAATTCCAGGTGGTTTTTCTCCAGCGGGGATATTAGGGTCCGGGTCAGGGTTTGTGGAACGGAAAAGGTTGGTGTAGAATGTTTCCGCTATTAATTCCATATCATGGCGGGAAGTTTTGTCGATCCCATCTTCGTTCATCACGGTTGATAGCAGCGGAACCTTATAATCACGCAAGTTCCAACGGCATTTTTTCAGACTGCTTCTTTTCTCTAGATCTTCCTGCAAGGCTCTTCTGCAGCTGGCATTTATTACTAGTCATGTTAAACGTGTTGCAGTAGGATCAAGCTTCAGTTTCCTTCTCTTTTCGAACAATTCCTTAGTAGTGGTGGAGATGCGATCCGATCTTCTTGCTTGATGAATTGAGGCGAATTCGGCACAGCTTTTCAGTCCTTCGACAAGCAGCTCGTAGTCTTCGGTAGGGTCTTCTTTAATCTGCCAGCTATATTTGGATAGGACCGTGTTCGGAATGTTCTCGTCGTATACAGCTAGATTTTTTCCTCGTGGTCGATGAAAAGAGTTCTTTTCCAGCTTGCGGCAGAATCAAATCTTCGCAAGAAGAAGGCGGTGATCGGAACCAGTACAGAATGGCGAGATTACCGATGTGTCAAGTAGGCACCATCTTCTGTTTGTCAGAATATGGTCGATCTCCGCATGAGTCATGACGTTGGGAGGCTCCCATGTCCAGCGGCGGTTTTCTTTCTTTTGGAAAAACGAGTTTCCATGGAAGAGACGTGCTGCGGACAGAAATCATGCGAGACATTTCCCATATTTTCATTTTTTTCTCCCAATCCAAAACTTCCGATCCTGTATTCGCTCTCGTTTCCTATTCTGGCGTTGAAGTCTCCGATAAGAAATTTATGATATGCTCTGTCATTGCGGATGACTTCTTCCAACTGATAGTAGAACGCATTTATTTCGTCCTTATAAGCTGCGTCGATCGGTGAGTAGCAGTTGATGGTAATGATCTTCTTATGATGCGACAGTTGAGGAAGGAGGACGGTTATGTGAGGGGAAAGGATCTCGTGTGAGTCCTTCACGGATCACAAGGGTCCCGTTGTTTAGTTGGCGTATGTCAGTCTTCTTGATTTTTGTTTCTTGTAATGCGATCAGATGAAATTTTATATGATTTGCTACTTTAAGAAGGGCGTGAGGATCGGTGTCTGTGGACAGAATTTTAGCATTATATGTGTAAAGTAAAGAATAATCTCCATGGCGTGTCGTGCGTGTGTTCGTCAGATCCTGTTCCAATGACGTCCTGCGTAACCCGAGATTTTCTGGCCTCTCACCGGTCGTCTCACCCCCTGACGTCATAGACGGGAGCACGCAGTGTGCGGGGTACTGAGGCTGGCCTATTGCTGGTCGTACAACTTGGTCCTCTGTGGAGTCCTGACTTAGCCTTGCAAAGGCGTGTCCAGGTCTTCACCACGTTGTGGATCAGAGGGAGGTGCGTTTTCAGCGACGAATGCTTCGCTCGGTCTTCCTACTAATTGATTCGGAGAGATGTTAAAACCGAAATCAGAAACGAAAGTAGGAATAAAAAGGTAACCGACAGCTCAAGGACAATGTGGAAGCAGAATTCCATGATGAATTATCGAGAAGAATATGTAAACCCAGTATTACTCTCTGGTTCCCTTGTTCCTTTTTTCACTTTTTTATGTTAAAATAAATAAAGATTTTCATGTTGTAGTTTGCTTATTTCTGTATTACATATTGGGTGTGAAGGTGTGTCTACTGTTTTATGATCAAATTTATTTTTTTATCAATCCGATAATACTGAAATTGTTACACAGTGACCGGAGTAAATAATGTTCCGTTTATATATGGCAGAAAAATCTCAAGGCTTGCAACCATTATTATACAAGTTCCTTTACCCGGTCTGGATATGATAACGTGTTCTTTTTTCTTTGCTAGTAGGCCTTATTCTTAAATGGAAAAAGTGAACCTGGAGCGCTAACAGTATAATATGCTGTATAAAATTAAGTGGGCAGCAAAACGAGTTGCTAAGTGATCGCTACCAAATAGTTGGATTTAGAGGTTAGATTTCCCATCTACGCAATATTCTAGGATATAATTTCATTATCTGTGTGGGCGTTATGTGCCAGCATACCGATGCTCTTCATACCAAAGTCCAAATTACTTCTGGTAACACGTTTACATTATGTTGAAACGATTTCAAATGGTTTCCATGTTAGAATAAAAAATGGCTAGAATTTCAAGAACCAGAATGACCATATTATTAGAAAAAGTACGTCCTTCAAGGTATCGGCCATTATTGCTTTACCCAGTCAATTTACGTCCTCCCTGTCGTATATGAACTCTTTAATACGAGGCGTTCAGAACATGATTGATGCAGTGTTGAACGAAGAACAATATGAGAACGACCAGAATTGGTGAAATAGTTCAACAAAGTTCGTCATATCCAACTCATCAAGAGGCAAACACTAGTGTTTAACGCTTTCCTGGCGATACGCTTTGATTTGGATGCGTACGGTGCGAAGCCCTTTCGCCGATTTTGTGTTTAAACCAACCTTTTTAATTCGCTGCGTGGGTTCGAGAACTTGTGGTTGATAGAAAAAGTTCCAGTTATGCAGCTTTATTCACGCAGCAGGCTATCATTTTCATGTTTATTTCGAATTCCTGTTTTTACTTCGAAATGTAATATACATTTAAAAAACCTTCATCAATTTCAGATCGGTTACAAGTTAGCGCTGCGTAAAGCTCGAGTGAACTGTAGGATTCAGTTGGCAAATGAGAAGGTACGCAACTTTTGGTGAATAGGTGTTCGTGTTTCTAGGAGCAGACATGTTGTCTATTCAGGTTGTTGATACCATAGATATGGAGGATATTACCGATAAGAAGGCGTTTTGCAGATGTTGGAGAAGTGACAAGGTACGAACGTTGGCCTAAGTAGAACAAAATAAGACTATTAGATTACAGTTTTATCCGACTTACGAAGTATTTGCATTCATTTTTTGCTTCACTAAAGTACCACATTGGCGAAGACACGTGCCACTTAGTTTCTTACATGGAGTGAGTGGGCAGACCGAGCGATAGTTCCCAAGACCGCGTCTCTGCTGATCTTGGCCCTGATTATTAGGGTTGGGAGTTCTTGTTAAGCCCACAAAAAGTCGTTAATACAAAATACAACATTTCTTGCACGGTGGCTAATATGTTGGCGAATCGGATCTTTTTTGGAGTATGGGAAAAGTCATATTGATATGCATTCTGCTTAGCGAAGTACCTTCTTAACGCTAATGGAAGAAATCAAAACATAGATTTAAGTCGCATGCTAAATAAATAAACCTCTTTACATCACCACCATCCTTGGTTGAATGTATTATCCATTTAACTTTGGTGACTTGCCACGCAGTTCAAATGGAGTGAGGAAAAAGCCAACCTAATGCAAAGGACGAACTCATGCCTTCTCACATTTTTTTAGGTTTTTGGTTTTTACTCAAAACGTGGAGCGAGTGTTATATATAGGAAAGCTAAAATGACGATTTACTGTTTTATTAAAGATTTCACGTCTTGCAGTTTCCCTATTGCGATGGTTCACATTCGAAGCACAACAAGGAAGTCGGCGACAATGTTGGCCCACTCGTCATTAAGAGCAAGCATTAAGCCATCGTGGTGATGGAAGATGTCGTCATGGAAGTAGTCATGTCTTTAGGTCTCCATCTCCCCGTGTTACTGTTATTGTAGTATTATAGTTATCATCTTGAGCGGACGCTAGATAGCTCAGTCCTACTGGTAAATTGTTCAATGTTTTGTGTTCATCACTAGACATCTACTTGAAGACACGGTATCAGAGACTGTTTTTCTCCGATTCACTTTTCAGAGTTTAACTATTTTTCGAAATTTCCGTCCCATCCAGCACTTTATCCCAGATGCCTAGCTAAGAACAAGCGTACGTAGTGGATTTCTGTTCTTATAGAGTGGATAAAGCACCCTGTCATGGATTTTTTTTACACTGCAAGGAGGAACTCGTCAAGAACGCAAAGTGGTAGTCGGTCGACATACAGAATATCACACAATTCTTTGTAAAAGACGCCATTTAAGTAGTGTGCATTACGAAGTTAGATATTTTGTTGAGGGCTTACAAGTTTTCGAGAGTGTTTATCTACTGACTTGGATACTTGGACAGCCCATCTTAACTGCTTGTGCGGGTCCTAACATAATTTCCATTACCCAAAGAGTTGCTGGTTTTGCTACTGTGGTTCACTGGAGTACCAGGGATAGCCTGACCAAAGTCTGCCCCAGGTCGTCACAACCACAGGCAGTCACAGCCTTTGTGGATCCTTGTTTATTAGGGATATTTGCCACCATGCGACTAATTTGACACTAGGGCAATGATGGATCCTGGTATTGGATTACTCTTAGTTAGGCTTCCTGATGGGAAACGGAGGACTCACCTCAGCTTCGGAGACCCTCCCGGGAGGATGAATCCCTCCGCTTTAAATAGCAACGCGACACCCAGGAACACCTCCCAACCACAATGAGGCGATAAACCGTTGGGAGGATAGTTGGGTTAGTTTATGTCAGCTTTCTCATAAACAAGTTTGATGAGAATCTCTTGCATAAGTTTATTTGCACCGTTTTGTCATTACAGGCAAAAATACCGATACGCATGAATGATTCGCGAGAAAAACCGGAGTTGATTTATCACACACTTTTCATAGCCAAACAAACCAGGAAGATTATATATGTATGTAAGCGAAAAGTGAAAGCAAAGATGGCATTACATTAAATAAGGTGATGAAATTCGGATGAGATAACGGAATGACTATTAGGACGATCTTCAGTTGAACGCTGATGGTCTTTTAGATCCTAATGCGTAGTGGCTTTTCAAACGAAAATGAGATCGTAGTCGACAATAAGTCTGTAGCAGAAGTTGTTCAAATTGTTCAACTGGGCGATGGGTACCTGTAGAAAATACGAATACTCCTAGTCAGCTAAAAATAGACGCCTGCGTCAAAGGAGCTAGAATCAATGTAGGAACAACATAAATGCCCTTGCTGTTTGGAAGCATTCGCTACCTGCTGATCTGTGGGCCACGTAAGATTCGGTCCAAATACAACACTTAGGTTATTGGCCGTCATCAGATTGATTTTATGGTTTGCGGCTACCTAAACATTTTCATTACTACAAGGAAATAATGAAGGCAACGAACAAGTCCCTACCATTTTCAGAAAATGCACAATTGTCTTAAGTAGGAGATAGTTAGGTCGTGGAAGTAGTGCAACAAATCCTTTCACAGCTGGCGTTTTCTCTTTCTTAGGAATCTCTTAAAGTAGCCATCTTAGACAATGAGAAATGCTATTGTAAGACCCACCAAAAACTTACCAGCCAATGCAACAAGGCGTGGATATAAGGCGTTAGTTGTTACTGGTTCGCCTAACGATCGAAGAAATGTCTTTAGAAGTACCGACGCATGTGTACATGCCAAGTGCAGGTTATCGTGGTATTCAGGTTCACTCTCGAAATCTATTTGTTCCCCTAAAATGCTTAAGTGAACATGGAGATTTTGTATCAGTCTTTCAGATGCATAGACGAGCGCCACAAACCTACCCATATTGATGCGTTCCTGCAACCTTCGCACGCTTCCGACATGCGCACTTTTTCTAAAAATCCCTTCCATATCTAAGGCATGCTTCGTGAGGAAGTCAATCAAATATGTGACAATTGGTGGTACATCATGATCAGGATTATGTGACAAAATGCTGAAAGAGGGGATAGGAACCTTCTTTGAAAAAAATTCCTTCTTCATAAAGGGAAACTTGCAAATAAAGAGACAGAAAATTGTCAAGGGGACGTACAACTCTAGGCTGACGTCAAATTGCTGAGTTGGTCTGGGAGGAGTCGGTGGAGACTGGGAGATGCTCTCACTAGAACTTGTTCCCATAGCAGCGCTCAACTGTTCATCATGAGACCGAACCGGAGGAGGGACGTTTAGTCTGAAACTTTCCACATTTACAAAATGGATATTTCTTATTCTTCGGCATAAAAATGCGATCACATTATCATGACAAAATAATAGCATAAAGCTCTCAGTGTTGATCCATTTTTGAGGGATGCGCCATGCATTCGATTTGATTAAGCACCGCTGGAGGCGATTGAGTGCATATCTGGCTTTTACAATAACTCGCGGTGGCCTACCGAGGTATCGAACCAGTGCTGCTATCCACCTAGACAAGTCTGGTACCAATCAGTTCACCGACTCCGGATGTATGGAGAGGTTGGTGGGCCGGGGCATGAGGATCAATTCCATGTGTATTGCAGGGCGTCTCCGACCACTGCGCTACACGCGCCCTTACATTATCATGATACATGCGAAACTGTTTTAAATTGCTGTTCACCTTGCTATGGAAAGGGCGTCCTCTAGCTCCTTCATACAGCTTACATAATGAAACTTGTTCTCGAATTTTGAAGAGATGAATGGACGAAACAGTCCCCAAATAAAACGTATAAACCTCGTAGGATGTACAACATATAACGCTTTTAAATTCTTTTTAAATCTGCAATAAAACTTGTTAAACGAATCTGGTAAGATGAAAAGTAGAAAACAGAAATGTACCTTCGATCTAACATCTTATAGGCTTTGAATAACCATTTTATAGGAGGTTTATTGTGGCTTCTTAAACCGTAGTGAAAGTAGACTATGGTGTAATCCAAATCAACAACCTGGACAAAAACGATAGAAAAAGTAGGAAAGATATTAAAAGAAGTGGAAATACTTTGTTTATGGAAAGTCCTAAAGGTACTATTGAAAAAAGAAGAGACCTTGTTAAGTACAGATTGGATATATCGTAGCAACTGATCGTGGTCTATGGACTTGCTGGGAGGTAGACGATACGCATAGATAACAATTATCGGCCTGAACAGCAAAACCCATTTAACTCTTGATAGTTTAAAAATGCATCTTAAATACTTTTTGTAAGCTGATAGCAACAATTCGTCAGGTCATTCAAGCATTTACGGATTTAAGTTCTAAACAACTTAAAGAAATTCCCATCTAGAATAACTTTGCATGGCTTCATCTCAAAAAGAACAAACCTTGCAACACTATCACCGTCGGCAATAACTTCGACGATTTCATGACTAGCAATCGCAGAGAAATCCTCTTCGAACGGATCTACCGTTCCCAATTCTGACTCATAGTCCAGCCTCTCCAGAAATGAACGTGATGGGGTAATAGTCGTGAGATCCACTAAGAATATATCAAACCGTGAAAACGAAATCGGCAAAAACAAAAAGCAACCCTGCTCCTAGGAATATGTGGTCACTCACATCGAATAAAAATCTCCGCAAAACGTAGCGGTATATGTATGGTACAGATTTAGCATTCAACAACAAACTGTTTACCGCTTAGGTCGTCAGGAGCAAGCAAATCATCGTCAGCAAATCCGTCTTCCGGCTCCGTAAAAGTGCCGCTCGACTGCCTGTCCAGCGTCGACATGCGGACAGATCTACGAATTAAAAGCTTAATTGCAAACAACATGCCTGCTAATACGTACTGATAGGTCCACAAATAAGAATAAATATTATTCGCAACAACGCCTATAATTGCATTCTCGACAATGCTCGTTTGTTCGCCGCGCGCTGTGAAATGAATTCAACTCATATCGGCAACAATGCGCCGAAAAAAACTTGCTCCATTTGCTGCAGTGTTCGCTCCATAATTTAATTCTTATACACGCTGTGATAGTAGTTTCTGCATTCTTTATATTCCATGAATCATCTCTGTTGTACCATCTATGAATTGTCGATTATAAAATGATGCTAATAGAGCACAATGTCTATAAGATCTATGAAATGTCATGAAAATAGTAGTTGGAAACAGGATACCTTATTTGGAAACAAACTCAGGCTTTTTGAAATTTAGGCAACGCTGTGCAAGCTTTAAGAGGGCGCGTGTGGCGCAATGGTCGGAGGCGCCCTGCAATACACACGTGGAGCCGATCCACTCGCCTATGGCCTGCCAAGCCTTCCATCTCTCTACGGTTCGCAAATTGGTACCAAACTTGTCTGGAAGGATATCAGCACTAGCTCGATGCATCGATAAGCCACAGCGAGTCATTGTAAAGGCCAGATATGTATTTAGTCACCTCCAACAATGCTGGTTGTGCACAAAGAGGTGGCTGTTCGAAACATGTTTCTCACAAACGCCCTCTTTGTGTGTGAAGGGTGGGAAGAGAGGAAATGAACCAGGATGTTTTTGTTACTTGGTTTTCGGTACCACTTTGTCATGTAACCGCTACTTGATATATCTTACCTGAGAACGCGCGCTCACTGCTAGAATTGGGTCCAAGTTTTTCACTATCGCAACCCATTTCTAAAGCAACTGTGCGCAAGATCACATGCAGCTTGTATGAACTTCAAGATCGACTCCGGTATAAAACCAAAAAAGAAATATTAAATAGAAATGAAAACGAAGATGGCGCTATTACCACCATCTCCTTTGTCCATAGCGTTCTTCAGACAGCAGGACTCCAATGTCGAAATTGATACAAAGTTCCGCATGTTTTCGGACGATGTTCTCAAAACCTTTGTGTACTATCGCGATGGAAAGTATATGTCTAACCTCACAGTTGCGCAAAAATGTTGTATGCGAGAAATTAGATAATTAACAAAATCGAAGAACACTGGATTATCAGCTAATGGTAAAGTGGGAGAGTTCGTAGTTATTCCTCGGCAGTTAGATGTTAAGATAACAGAGGAACATCTTAGTGATGCTATCCTTTACCGCTCATCGTCTGAAAAGGAATGCAAAAGACAATACCGAAAACTTAACAATGAATGGATCACAGTAGCAAAGGCCACGTGCTTAAAACCACCCGTTATTTCGTATTATAAAGTTGATCGACCAACATGTCCCGTTTTATAATTACTTATTAAAACACATAAGTTAGTATCAGCTGATGATCTCGCGGCTATCAACCATTTATCCTACAAGGTTAGACCCATTATCAGCTGTATAGACGGGCCAACGGATAGAATAACATGGTTTCTAGACCGAATACTTACCGAACTGTTAAGCTGTATTCCAGTTCACCTCACGAACACCCAAATGTTCCTAGAACGTCTGCGTAACGCGTCTCCTAATAACGCGTACGCGATGGAGTCTTTCGACGTTACCGCATTCACCAACGTATCGAATGACTCCGCAGTGCAAGCCATCCACGAACTTCCTGTTGAACATGAAAGAGGAATACATATGCATGACTTGTCTATTCAGCAGCTTATGGTTCTCCTAAAAGAGTGCCTAAACTGCTCGATTCCCAGATGGTTTGGGAATCATTACGCACAAACTAGAAAGCTGGCAATGGGACAGCGGTTGGCACCAACTCTCGCCATTGCGTTCATGTCTAAAATAAAAGCCCCGGCTATCGATCTCCGGTCATTACTCTGCTGCAGATATATAGATGGCTGTTTTGTCATCTTATCTACTCAGAAGGAGATGGATAAATACTTTGAATTATTGAATGAACAGTTTCGGTACATCAAATTCACCCGGGAGAAAACAAAAGGGAACTGGCTTCCATTTCTCAACATTAAAACCAATTTATCGAACAACGGTTACATGACAAAATAATACCGAAAGTCAAGTAACAAAAGCAACCACTTTCATTTCCTGACTTCCCATCCTTCACAAACAAAGAGAGCACTTGTAAGAAACATGTTTCGAACAGCCAAATGGGTGTGCATGAAGAGGGATTCAAAAGAGGAATCGCGCGACTTGGCTCGCCAAGTAGTCATCTCCAATGGCTACGATATAGTTACCGCAAAAGATAAGTTTAGAAGGAGAGTGACGCGCCCAAGAGAAACACTTGGCCAAAAGAAAGTCCCGTTTATGTTGCCTTTTATTAGTGATGAAGCGTAGCTATAAAACTATGCTTTAAAAGGTAAGGTCTAGAGGAATCGGTAGCGATAGTTGAAATACCACCGGATACTCTACGTCGTTAGTTTGTAAACGTTTGTACAACCGTCTATATGAAACAATAAACTGCGTAAATTGCCCCTACGGCACGTATGGTGAGTTCAGGTGCGATATACCTGATCTCTTGTAATAATTGCGGAGATGAATATATTGGCGAAACGGGCAGACCTTTGTGTATCCGTATAAAAGAACACCTAGATGGCAAACGAAAACTAAGACGAAGCACCCCACTAGGCACGGATAGGATACAAAAGCATAGCGGAGACGATTTTGAAGTAAAAATCAATATCCTCGCACAGAAGACTAAAATACTAGCGCGAAAACTTCTTGAGGCTTTTTGGATAAATGCCAAAAACCCCACAATGAATCCCAGAGAGGAATGGCCAGAGCTCACACACTACCTGGCCCGTATGTTCGCATTAATTTCTGATGTAGGATGGTGCAGTCATCAACCATATGCGACTATAATCAGTTGTTCTAAACTTCCTCATTGGACGTCTCGTAAAAAGCGGTGAGTTTTCTGAGAAGCTGTTGATCATGTTATTACCATAGTTTTTCGTTTTTTTTGTAAGTGGTATTGAAGCGTTTGGTCAAGTAGATTGTATATCAGTATACCCTTCCAGGCTCTGAAGAAGGCGATACTGCCGAAACGTCAGCTACTGTTGTTTTGTATTGTTTTTATATGGAAGTAAATCTATGCTGTTTAACAACCTCGCAACTGCTGAACAAGAAACGACGCATTCATACTCCAATGCAGAGGTTAATAGAAAGTCGATCCTGGGAACTGTTGAGTGTTCAATTACCGCCCAGTTCTCTCTTTGCGACAACAGTTTGAGGTGGAACTCTTTTCACTCACGAAGGTCTCTCGCTCCAAAACGACTTTGAACGAAATTTTTTTTTAAACTTTAAATGCATAAGAAACCATTTCTCCGCCGAATGCTCAAAAAAGTGTTGCAAAAAAGTTCTGTGCTGTAAAATGAACCACGGAAAGGAAAATGAATGGAAACCAATTCAGATAGGCTCATGTCTCTATATGTCAGAATTAATAACCCATGTCAACGCAAATCTGTTAAACAACTTGAAAACCATCCCATAGTACAACTACACTGCACTTTAGCACATACGCGACTGCACGTGGTTCTGTGTGCTGGCACACTCATAGGACCAGGTCTAATCCTTCGCTTCGCGTGGCCTGTACTGAATCCATCAAAGCTAACGGCCCATCCTCCTCTCACTAGAAAGAAACCACACTCCTTCACTCGTGCTTTTCGCTCTATAACTCGGTTCTAACCCACTTTTACGGTCGTTAGGCCAAATTGTGTAGTGGTTAGTACTCCACGTTGTGAATAAATTATACTCCTTCCCGTGGTTGCTCATGTTCCACTTACCCTCTCTTTCCATACACCCTGTGTTTTCAAAACATATTCAACTCTTTGTCTGATGAAAAAAAAGCTCGTCCACTACTAAACCGAACTGCTGTGAGGTATTGATAAAGTTCCATAATAAATGCGAAATACATTTGCTTTTTTTTCATATCCAGCCATTTCACATGACATCATCGTTTCGATTTTTCGACTTTTTCGGAAATGAAATAATGCTAGCTAATAACGATATCGACTTCTGCAGGATGGAGTGCCCAGGAAAAGCGAGTCAGTGTCACCGGACAATCATATCAACAACAACCGTCCCGTATTGAAGAGCATCGACAGGTTAGGTTCACTCCTACAAACGGTGCTGCTCTGAAGAAGATTCGACTCGATACGAACAAGGGGACACCACAATGAGAGTACTAACGACTGTGGAGTATCGACTCAGATCATCGGGGCTGTGAAGAACATGAATGCGCCGGAACGTTAAAAAGTGATAAAGAGATGAAGAGTGGTGTCGGCCAATCCCTGAGAGATACACCCTGCATTTGACTTCATTAAGCAACGCTAGGGGTGAGTTAATGCATATCGGGACTACACAATAACTTATGGTAGCTTACCAATGTATCAAATCAGTAATGCTATCTTCCCAAACAAGCCTAGTACCAATTTGCTGACTTCGCTGGGATGGAAGGCTTGGTGAGCCTGAGGGGCGGGGTCGATCCAGCAGCCACGTGTGTGTTGCAAGGCACTTCTAACAACTGCGATACAAGCGTTCGTGTTGCCAAAAAGTTTGCCGACTAGAACATTAATAACAATCTTGTTATAGCTTAATATTCTAAGAAAATGTAAAGTGTATCGGAGCGGAGGACTAGGACGGATATAACGTCTATGAAGGTATTTGGCACCGGAAGTGCTGACAGTGAGTGATGAGACAGTATGGTGACCCCTATCTTAACGTTGGATTTCGAATAATAGTCAATTTGGAGTGGAGCTCCTCGATTCAGAGAGCCAGTACACTTTTGAAACTGATATGGCCCATATGTGGGAGCTTTTGGAAGAGAACAATAGATAAGAAGAGAATGATAAGTCACGGGTCAGGTCATCGATGCAACAATTTGTTAGACTGTAAGAGTCGAGGAATTATTGGAG